AAATTTCGACTTTTTATCTCATAAGTTTGACTTAGTAAGTTGAAATTTCGACTTTTTATCTCATAAGTTTGACTTAGTAAGTTGAAATTTCGACTTTTTATCTCATAAGTTTGACTTAGTAAGTTGAAATTTCGACTTTTTATCTCATAATTATGACTTTGTAGATCAAAAAAAATTTTTTGTACTGGCAGAAACTGGCTTCCATAAAAAACATGGGTTATCAGTAAATAATCTGTAAGCAACTCTCCTCTATAGCTCTCTTAGCCTTTTTTAAGCAAAACATACACATTAATGTTAACCAACAGTGTCACCAAAGTTAGAAAGTTTGTCTTTTTATCTAACTCTAGTTACATCTCATTTTGTTTGACAAAGGGACTAAAGTACACTAACAAAAACTATTATAGGAAGCGATCGTTTCTACGTTTCCTTCTATTCTGGGGGGAATAAGCTGCTGTTTTATCCTGGTGTCTGTAGCATTGCCTTTGTTTACAACGTAGTTTATCCTATTGTTTTGAAACCAGGCGAAATGACCCTTTGCGCTCATTCTCACTGGCCTGCTTTCTTAGAAGAGGCCGTAAGAACAATATTTTATATTGTACTTGTATTGCTGGTACAATAACAATCTTTAATACCTTGTTTTTTTAATTCACTGCAACAGTATTATGGAGTTGTAGAGAATACCAATCCTGTAAAACACTTCCCTCTTTCCAATTACAAAGGGCATGCAGAGGTCAGGGTCAAAACTAGACCTTAGAGTGATTTTTGTGTCTTGCTCAAAGGCCTTTAAGTAGGTGAGGAGACTGCCCACACTGCAACATTAACATGAATCTTTAAAGGCCCCATGGCATGCTCATTTTGCTCATTTCCAGCCATTTAATGTTTAATCTTGAGTATTTCTAGATTAGTCTGGCACCCCTAAAAACTCCAAATAGTCTGTAAATATTTCAGAATGATAAACCCAAAGAGCCTCTTCCTAAAAACGAGAGGATAGTTCGTGAACACGCACACCTTCCGTTGCTGGTGTTGTGTTGCAAGTGGACTGCACAACATACCGCAACAGCATCAATTAATTTGAATTTCTCCTCCATAGATAAGTAAACATCGGTATATGTACCAATGAAAAGACATGTGTAACACTAAACAAAGTGGGTAATTGAGAAACCCCATATTTGAACTGGCATAATGCAGACATAGTAACTTCTCCAGCCTTACACCAATTCTCTCTAACGTTACAGAAACAAGGCATTAACATACATGCAAAAAAAGCTTTTAAAAAAACATGTTTTTTTTTTTTTTTTACTTACCCTTAGGTCCCACCAAGTAGTGGAAACATCACTCCCTTACTAGAAGCTCTAAGGTTGTTACATCCAACTGGTAGTCGTTGTGTTTTCCCCTGCACGACCACATACAGTGCCAAAGTCCTAAAATTCCAACAGGTAGGGTAGCACTGATAATAACATCATTGGTTCTTAATCTGCTCGTTAACCAGCAACACATCACATGCAGCAGACACACTGGCATCAAGCAGTCAAAACAAATGGGTACTGTGCTCGGGGGGAATCCAGCATTGATCAGCTGATCACTAACCGCCACTGGGACTTCACAGGCTGGCTGCTTGTAGGGTTGAACCGGGCTAGGTTAGACCCGGTCAGGTAAAACCCCTGTACAGGAACATTCCCAGACATGCAGTAACCTCAGGCCCTGTATTTTCTTCTACATCCGCTAGTCACAGTGCAGGCAGCAAGAGGTAAAATATATCGACAAAACCAGGCTCAGTGACAAATTCCACTTTTACAATGGCACTGTGGATGTGTTTTTTTTAATAAGCTTTATAGAAAATACCCATAACAAACAAGGCAAAATAAAAAAAAAAATCGCCAAATTGGTGGAGGCACTGGTGGATGTCAGACAAGCTCACATGAAGGTGCAATGGCCTGAAGATTATGACCACTCAAGGAAATCCTTAAACTATCACCTAATACATTATTTTGTTAGAAAAAAAGTCCTGAGAGCAAGAGTTTGAGAGACGTGTATAAAGCGAGTTGCTTCTGCACAGAAATACTAGAACATAAGTACACCTCATTTTTTTAGCTTTAGGTCACATCTAACATGGTAATTCACCATTTTAACATTGTAGGTAAGTTAAAAAAACAAGGAAAAGCATGCCATGGGCTCTTTAAGGTCCTATTGTAGCACTTAAGGACCACTTTGTAGCTAAATCTTCCTTGATACTGAGTGTCAAGTTCTGGGAGGAGAGCTCCCCTCCATGTAACCAAGAGGAAAGTCCAGGAATGCTGCATGCCATCCAGTGCATGGGCCCCATTGGCTTAATGTCAAGCTGGTCTATTTCAGATTCCACCAGAATGGTCATTATATAGCATAAGGTTATTAAAAAATGCAGGGTAAATCACACATACTCCCCATTACTACATGTAACTTTAGTATCTCACCTGGCTAAACAGCAATGCTTCAGGAATTTTCAATTTGAGATACACTTTTACCGGTACATGCAGACATACTTGACAGAACATTTCTGGATGAGGGCCAAGTGTTACTTCTGCACACTTATCAGTGACTGTGGTTAGGTAGTCCAGCATGACTGTAATCTATTCAAATGACAGTTCCATCAACAGTTCTTACAGTTCATGACCAGTAAGTAAAATTGATAATGTTTTATAAAGTGTCCTATTTATTTGCTCCACAGTAAACAACACACAGTATGGTACCAATATGTATAATACAAGTGTGGAGAGCTTTGCACCTTTTTTCAGGTTATACTAATGCTGTCATTGTTGAACAGAAGGAAATGATTCTGAAACAAGTGAAAATCACAACTGAACATTTACTGTACATGCTGAATTTGAACTTTTTTGATGTATTCCAAAGGCTTTAAAACAGGGCTTTTTAAATGTAATGAGATTTTTCAGATTTTTTTAAACTACCGGCATGTTTGCCTGAGCCACTTTGGCTTTAACTGAGCTTTCACTATGATTAAAATTTGCAAGTGTGTAGCTACTGACCCACTTGTTATAGAAGTGGTGCATTCCTCTATAGATTACAGGGTCCTCTTTAGGCTGCTGGACACACATTCCTCACCGGTGCTGACCCACTGGCCCATGTGGTGTAAAATGTTTGCAGGAGATATGTAGACCCAATAATTCATCATCTTTCATAATAACAAGTGCTCTGCCAAATCACTGCTTGCAGCCATAATGAAAGCCAGTAGGCAAGCCTAAGTGTGAGCCACTAACATCACTACAGGTTATTTCAAACAATCTCTGGTTTCACTCCTCATGGTATTAACTTGTAATTTTACATCTTTTTACATCTTTCACAGGCACATGAGGACTTGGCAAAGTGTTCCATTTTTGGGATGTTCATCCATGAAAACCATTTCCTAAAACACCATGTTTGTGAGTGCCACAACTGGTCTCAGATTGGTTCTGTTGGGGCCTATCTGCTTTAGGCCAGACTGAAATATGTGTACAGCTTGTGGCTGCACTTTCATGGAATTTTGTACAGACATTTATGATCTCCAAACGATGAAGCCTAATGAGTGTGGTGATCCTCTGACTTTAGGGCTACAAGATGGTCAAATTTTCACTTTGTCAGTAAAATATATCAGCTATTAGATGGAGTTCCAAAATCTTAGTACAAATTCATTAATTCACGGTACCTATGATCAGTTCTAATGATTTTGTTGATTCTGCTGACTTATCCTCTAGCACACCATTAGGTTCACGGTCATCATTTAAATGGAGCTGCTAGATTGTCATGAAATGTGGTACACCTCAGGATGAACTTTAACAATTTTGATGGCACCCTGATGTTTTTTTCATATACTGTAGCTGCTTTGCCAGGTGAAAAATATAAATAGCGTCAGTTGTACTTTGTGTATAGGTCAGTTCTGTGAGCATGAAGCCCAGAGCACCACTGTAGTACAGCTCACAGAGCTACTAGCTTGGCTGCACAGTCTAAGTTCTGATGTACAGTACCTTTTATTCATTTATTTTTATTTTTTTTGCAAATGTTAAAGGTTTTTGGTGTGAAATTGATCAGACTTCAGTAAAATGAACTCTGGCTAAAATTTTTCTGCAGCTTCAATCCAGCAGTGTCCCTGTCAGCAGTTTAAAATGCTGCTTGTCAGTCTGACTTGCCAAAGCCAAAGCCCTCTGTTCATTTATAATGTGCGTGCACATGTGGTACCCACTACATCTCAGAGGAGGTAACTGCTTGGGGGATGCCTTTCTAGATGAGTGATGATTCTGTGCCTTAACTGACTCATCTCCCCTCCTTTTGTTCTTTGAGGACAGCTTTGTAAACACAGCCACAGGGTCAGGGCCGCTCGGCACCAGACAAAACCTGATAAGAAATTGCACGGATGTAGCAGCAGTCACAGTTTTGGCACTCCTCATTCTTTCTGGTGAACATCTCAGTGTGTTATCATTTAATTTCTTTAAACGTTAACACAAAAGAGTCTACTGTACTTTCCAGAAGGACTTGTGGCCTAGTTTGGGAGAGATATTTAGATATGTGCAGCACTTTCAGAAAGGATCACACTTTTCTCTTATGTCAGAGTTCATGTATACTGTAGTTCCTCCAAACTCTTTGCCTTTTTATTGTTGAACTTGTGTCGGAGTTGAAATATTTACTTAACTTCAGCAGTGTTTCTGACCAAGATACCCTATTTTGCCTTTCTGCTTCAGCAAGAGATCAAATGAAATGATTTGACTTTAAGTTCAACATAGGCTGTTTACATTTCACCTGATCTGTTTTTCTGAAACTCTTTAAATGTTCTCATGACTAACGTTATTTGTCTTGGAACATGAAATGGAGGAAAGCTGGCAAATCTGGCATTAGAGAAGTTGTAACCAACAAATATGTGATGTTTTAACTTGATGAATGGGTACAACAAGAATGTGATTACTATTGATCAATGTATTTACCCACTTTCCCTGAAAATGGTTTTCCTCTCTCTCTCTCTCTCTCTCTCTCTGTAGAGCTTCCAGAAAACTGGACTGACACAAGGGAGACCATCTTGGAGGGCATCCTCTTTAACCTGCGTCATCTCGGCATGACACTAGTGGACCAGCCCAAGGGAGAGGACCTGTCAGCTGCTGCTGTCAAGAGGATTGTGGCCACGGTGAGAGCTGGAGAAACAAGGGCAATATATCATTACTCACAGTGTATATAGCTTTCATTGAAAGCTCGCCACATGCTTTGATTCTCTGCACACGACATGATGCCTCACCAAAATCGGTGACAGTCACTATCCAATGGTTTTTAAGCTGTTTTAGAGTTTTCCCTAACAGCTGACTGGATATTTTTCTTTACCATCAACTCAGGATTAGAATGACCACTGATTTAGCATGTAAAAAATCTGGTCGTCTTTCTTGCAGGTCCACAGTCTGAAGTTAGTTCAGTGTGCTTATTTTTATTATATTGCTGTATTTGCTGGTTAAAGTGCCTTAGATTTAGTGTTACTTATTTATCTATTTTATATTTCATTTGTATTTTGTGGCATTCATGTGGACGGCAAAGTAAGAATTTCATGGTACAGGGAAACACGTTTCCTAACTGTGCATATGACAAATAAACACTTTGACTTGTGTGAGTACAAAGACAACAGCATAACATATGGCACAGATGAGATATCACATTTTGTGTACAGAATCAACTGAATTGAGACCATAATATATTTAGATGGGCTAATGTCTTTGGATGAGGCTAATCGAGTTCTGGAAGCACCACACTGACATCAGAATGGTGTCGTGAATGACGGCAACAGCAGGAAAGCAGTAGCTACTGACAGCAGATTACCACTGTTCATCAGCTGTACAAAGTAAAACTGCTAAAACATCGTGCTGTTTTTCTTTTGGTTCACCCCAAGTTATCGTCCTGTTTTTCTTTTGGTTCACCCCAAGTTTATTGAAGTTGTCAGTGAACAAACCTGCTCGTGTAAACTGTTGAAACATCTAGTGTGAGCGCTCATGTCGTGGCCAGCAGACTATACTACAGTGTGAGCAGTGATGATACTGTTCCTAGTTGAGCACCACTGCAATGCTACATGCATGTATTTTACATTCTGCATTACCACATTCATTCATTCATTCATAGAGTGGTGATTGTGAAGAGGTTTGTAGTGGAAACGCTGTTGCTAGATGTTTGTTACTGAAAGAACAGGACGTTTGAGTCTTTCCTCCGTTTGCTTAGTGCTATCTCCAATGTCAACAGTGTCTACAGCCGGAAGCCATATATTTGAGGAGGTCAAGTTAGTTATGGCTACACCATAACCCCCCTAAGTCTTTACATGATACTGAGCAAACCTTATCATCTTTTTTTTTTTTCTTTTGCAATTGTCCTTCTAACAGGCTAAAGCCAGTGGGAAAAAGCCTCAGAAGGTTGCTCTCAAGGTTTCCCCTCAGGGAATAGTCCTGTACGACAGCTTGAATAACAAACTCCTGGAAAATGTCTCCATACACAGGTATGTGCAGACCAGCGTATAGTAGGTTTTGCACACAAGAGGCATTCAACTGTTGTTAAACATACAAAACTGCTACCTGTAAGCCAGTGGGAGCATTGCAGTGTAACTGGTCTGGCGTGTGGCTCTGCTTAATTACACTGTGTATTGTTTGTCTAACCTATGACCTTCTGGCATGCAGAATATCCTACTGCACAGTGGACAAACTGCATAATAAAGTGTTTGCTTATATCGCTCAAAACACCCTCAATGGGACCCTGGAGTGCCACGCTTACCTCTGCTCCAAGAGGAAAGTGGTTAGTTGTCTGACTGCTGTATCAGCGTGTTTGTTTAATTTAAGAGTAAGTAAATTCAGTCAGAATCGTCTTGTTGTGAGCCATTAACTCCAAGATTTATTGTACCTTTCTCTGTGGTTTGAGGGGGTTTAAACCTATAAATATAAAGTACATAATCTGACCTTGCTTTACTTTTAAATACCTTAGTTAGTCATCTCTTGGTCAACATGATGGTGTTTTGTTTGAACCTATGACACCCAGCATGTTTCAGCTGCTTTTTGTTCATCTACTTGTTTTTTGGTCAAAGGTGTTTGGCCAGAAGAACTTGTTAGATATATTTATCATGTAACTGCACTCCTCTTCCACACCTTTCTGACACAGTACTATAGCTCTCCTTCATCATTACAAAGAAATCTGAGGGCCTCAAGCTTTCTATCTTCTTGTCTGTCTATACAGAAAAACAAAAGGGCACTTTTCCTCTCGTCTTACCCACTTCCACATTCATTTCTTTTCTCTAAAGATAACATTAGATAATACTGTGCTACTCTCTTGTTGTGCTTATGGGGATAGTGTTTGTACTTGTTGTCCTCTAAAAGAGCAGCTCTGTAGCTATATGATATGATTATTGAAAAGAATACACAGTTTTTTGAATAAAATATATTATCCAGCTCTGCCTACAAAGGCAACAACATATTTAATCAAAACTGAGAAAAACAAAAAACAAAAAAGGAGTCTAAGGCCTAGGTCTGAGTTTTTCTGTTTCACAATAGATAAAGCAGCTATTTAAATTTGCAGAGAAGTCAAATAGACAGCTAAAGCAACAGAGCTACATTAAGTCAATGGCTAGCTAGTGACATAGCCACAAACGTTTAGCCAGGTAGGGAAGCACAACAGGAACACTTCATAAAATTTGTCTGACTCTCTCCAAAATGTTTTTTGATAATGAAGATCAAGCCAACATTATGGTGTCACTGAGGATGGTGAACATTTTTTACAGCCATGGTCAGTTACAGTGTGTATTTTTCTCCTGTTCTCTAGGCTCAGGCAGTGGCTTTGACAGTAGCCCAGGCCTTTACAGTAGCTCTTGAGCTCTGGCGAGTGGCCAAAGAAGGTAGGAACCACAGAAGCCAGCCACCCCATCCCTACTCACCTTCACTCACTCACTCCCTCACACACATACACAAGCACTGTCTGTGGAGGGGGTGTTTTATCAGTCTCTGAGACTGCTTGTGTTGTACTGAACCAGCCTTGATGCTCCAAGGACAGTGATATGTGCTGTATAGTTACAGTAAACAGGTCTTGATCTGCTTGTGTTGTGTCTATGTACATCTCTTTTCTAGAGAAAGAGAAAAGAGTGAAGTCTGGTTCAACAGTAGAGGCCAGCAGTAGCTCCGATTCTAACAGCCTGGGGAGCCTGAAAGAATCAGGTAAAAATAAAACTGACTCTACAGCAAGGCTAATGGGTCTGTTTCTCAAATCAATCCAGAAAACAAGTGTAAATGCCATCTTTCCATTGTAATCTTTACATCATTTTTCATTGCCTGAGGTCTGACTAGTGCTCTTTTAATTTTATCATCATGTGCTCTGTTCTTCCACAATTGTCTAATGACACCTGGCTGGAAGGGTAGCGCCACCAGCTGTTTATCTTGATACACCCAACTTCTGTGTCTACATAATGGTAATGGAAAGAAACTCTTCTTGCAGTCTCTGGGTGGGGTCCTGGAAAATAATACTGCTCTACACAGTTGTGCTTAGGGATGTGGGCAACAGCAGAGAAGCCTGTCAGGACAGGGTTGCCTGATCTGAACTTGACAATGCTTTGTTATTGGACTTATGTGGCAGTCATGGTCTGGCCATAATGAATATCATATTCAGAATAGAGTGGTGTTTAGGGTACTGGGTACCAGAACACCTAATGCCTCAGATCAGTGATTAACTTTGTGATCGTATGTTTTGGACACTGAATAGAGGAGCAGAGCTGTCAACTGATCACCACCTGGTAGTGCATGGAGGTTAGGGTCAGTGCCTCTGGACTGGCAAACCAGCTCAGTTCCTCCTATCATTGAAAAAGAGGACCAGAAGGGGTACTCCAGCTATGTTAGCATGATGGAAATGAGGCTTCAAACAGCTGACCAGCCTCAGATCCTACAGGAGCAATGTAGATTCTGTTCTGATCATAGAAGACTTGGAAAAAGTGTATCCATCTCCCTGAGGAGGAACTGAAACAGGCTACTGGGAAAAGGGATGTCTGGACTACATGTACCTTGCTTAGCCTGCTGCAACTGCAGACCGACTCCAGATATGGTGGAGAAGATGGATGGATAGAAACGTATATTACTTCACCTTTGTTCTGCTGATTTAAGATATCCCAGTCAGGGCCAAAGTGGGCCCAAAAGCTCACTGGGCCATTAGTTGAGTTTACATTCAGTGTAATGGATTATCACTCCCTCTCTTCCCAACTAGATGTTGCTAAAGACAACCTATTAGACTTGGAGGACAGTGTGAATGTTGTAGTGAAGACCAATGGGAATGTAAAGGAGGACCAAGTAGATAACCACAGGCTCTCTGAGACAAATAAGAACCCTGCCTGGGTAAGATTTTCCTTTCTCCCTCTGACTCTGTGTTGCTGCTGAGGACAATTGTGATGATGACAATTTTCTTCCATTTAACCCAAAATGTTTATACATTTTCTGTTTGAAATTTGGACTCAAGTGACTCACATTAGATGTTCTTGGGAAAAGTCCCAAATAAAAAAGCATTTTAAAACTAGAGAATTTAAATTCTTAGTTGCATTTTGCACTGTTTCTTTGAGCTCAATCTGTCTTTTTGTGGTTAACCAACATAGGTTGACATGCCTAGGCTAGAGGAAATCAGAATACAAGTCTGTATGTAATTGTTAGAGTCTTTAGTGCAAACACCATTACAGCACTTGGTTTTCTATTTCTTGTGCGTACATTAAGCCAAGATTCTTTTTCTCCAGGAAGTAGAAGATGGTTTGGATGAAGCCTTCTCCAGGTGAGATATGTTAGAACAATTTTATTATCAAGTAAAATTAATCCTAGTTGAGTCTGTCTACTGCTGCTTTACCATAAAAAGCCCCATCACCAAAATCTGCTTTGTCAAAGCCTTTGGCATAGTGTAGTTCATTCTCATACGGCTTGAAATTACAGTGCCATGACACACATCTTGGTTGGCACAGATGAGCTTTAAACTGTCCTCAGTCTACTGTTGTTTGTGCCTCCAGCTGTGCTCTGGATAGCTATGGTTCATTTCCAGGTAAAGAACCACTATCAACTGTTAGAAGCTTTACTTAGTGTAGTAGTCATCATTAATATTAATTTAACCCTAATCCATTCCATTCAGTCACCACCAAACCCAATAGTAATAATAGTTCTGTATACAGGTGAGTAGTTAATACTTTGAAATAGCTTCCTGTGTCTAATTCTTCACAGATGGAATAATTGTCGACTGGATTCAGAAAAGAAAACTGATGCAAAGTAGTGAATTTCTGTCAGTGTCCAAAATGCCACAGCTTCTACCTTTTTTGATAACCCAGTAGCATGTCCATCCATCCATTATCTCGTGTCCAAAATGCCACTGCTTCTACCTTTTTTGATAACCCTGTCTGAGTAGACTGCAGCAGTAGCATGTCCATCCATCCATTATCTATACCACTTTATGACAGTATTGTTTGACAAGGGAAAAGAGCTCTCTTTTTGAGTTTTTTTCTCTTCATCTATTTCTTTTTTTCCTGTGTCTCCTCAGACTGGCAGTGTCGCGTACTAACCCCCAGGTCCTGGACATTGGGGTGACACCTCAAGACTGGCTCAGTGAACCTGACTGGGAATTAACAAGGTATCACTAAAACTACAGCAACTCAACAGAGGAAAAAGTACAGAACTGTGAGAGTGTTTTGCATCTTTACGATGTTGTTACCGCTGCCCCCGCACACCAAAGCAATATCTTCCTTACTGCTTCCCTCCTGTCAATAAGCTACAAACATCCTTACAAACTTAATGTTCATCAGGTTATCTTTCTGTAGTCAAGGCATCATAATAACTGTTCTTAATAACATTTTGTTATAATGTTCATAGTTTTATAATAACTTTTATGGATGAAGATGAGTAGGGTTTAATATAGAGTGTATCAACAGGCCTTAAGGACAATCAGCTCTGTTCCATCTTTAAGAAAAATTCATCTTTGCTTAGGTACAATATCAGAGGGCTTAGTTAATGTGAGCATATGGCTTTCCATAAGATTGTTTTATTTGTATAATCTGAAAATCAGTCTAGTTATTGTATTTATATGAAATCTCCAATTCACTTTATCTTTCCTCACTCCACTTTCATCTAAGATGGTATCTTCCAGCTTCTGACTGGCTGAACACACCTGAGCCAGGTAATCAGCAGCAGGTCGGGCAGGAATAGTTGGAAAACAAACAGGACAGCGACCCTCAAGGACTGGAACTGGCCACCCCTGCTCTATAGCATCTTTATCTAGCTGGTTATATCTTCAGCTTTGGACCAAGACAGTCATTTGGACTCTCTATTGCCAAACCAAGATATTACAGCAAGTCAAATTCTGCCTAATAAGCTGTTCTCTTTCTGTGGTGTTGTCCTAAAGTCACAGTGTAGGTTAATCGAAGCAAATATTAGTTTTGAAGCAGGTTGTCATGAGGGGGGAACATCAAAGGATGCTTTGTGTTAGACTGCACCTGTAAACCAACAGCAAAAAGACATGACTGCGGGAGAGAAGGACACACTGGACTCCATCCTCTCTGGCTTCCTTGTCATGGCTACTCCCACACACATTTCTTGCCACGTTCTGTATTCAACCCATGTGTATGAACACGAATCGGGACGACTAAGCGTCACACAGTCTGCCTCTCGCCGTCTAACAGCCTGTGGCTCAGTGATGCTTTTTTTTTTAAAAAAACAAATCATTCCAAGAAGCTTATTTAACCACCTGCATTATTGAACAATCTTGCCTCAAAGGGAGCTCCAACTCTCATTCTAACTCTCTGTATGTTTGATGAAAGCACACGCGTTGAGATACATCTAGTCACTGTCAATAAATAAACACTTACATGACAGTAAAGGACTAACAACTCAAAGTGGGCATTGAGGTCATGTGATTCCATAGTCTATTGATAAAGCAGTGACGTATAAGATACATTTCCAGCAAGCCCTGTATGACAATCCTGTTTTAAATGGTTTACCTTTTTGTGTTGGTTTATTTTTTATTTTTTAATCAATGTAGTAATGTGAATATTAAGTTTCAGGCCAACACCACACCAGTGAAAACCTTCAAAAAGGAAGCACTTATCTAAAATTCAGCTACTTTTTTGCACATTTGTTTTCATCTCACCTGTTTAAAGTCTGCTACAAACCTCAATGTATTTTCTTTTTATTATATAGAGAAGAAAGAACCTTCATCAGAAATCCCAATATTCCTTCTGACCTTGCAGAGGCAGAGGGGAAGAAACACAAATGTGAATATGAAATCTGTATAAGATTAAAGAAATACTTAAATGTTATGGGAAATGTTAATGTGTTCTTATGTCTGTCTATTATGTATTTATGAATATAAAGATTTATATATACAGTGTACGTACTGTATGTATAGCTGAGACAAGCACTGCAGCAAAACCGGCTCCGCATTGAATAAACATTTAAGCAAACTAATCCATAACCTTTGCTTCACAGAACATTAATCTACAGCAACTGCAATCGATGCCATTCTTAATTCACATATCTAATAAATTTTGTGCTAAATGTGAACTGCCAGTGGTAATGGATTGGAGCAGTTGGATGGAGAAATGGTGACATTAATTTTACATCGTCCTTCCATCTGGATATTCAAATAACAGCGCTGAGTGTAGAGGGAGAGGGAGGCCGAGATTGAGGATACTAGAAAGACTTGGAAAGGAAAGACCACCCTTGAGTTTGAAGGCCTAGGCCACATCCTTTGCAATATAACCTTGCCGCCACCCCCCCATGCTGAAGACTAACTTTGGCCATCCACACCCTTCATTAATATTCAGAGAGATATGGTGAGGTTTGTGTGTGTCTATGTTCTGTATTCAGTGTGGTTTCCAGCATGTGTGTGTGTTTTTATAACAAAAGCTTCAGGGAGCACACAGAAAGGCAACTTCTGTCTCTGGCTTCTTCTTCCTGATGATCATCTGTCAGTAACTGATTGTGGTCTGCAGGAACAAGTAGCCTCTAAAAACTAATTCCTTAATACCTTTATGGGTATCAGCTGATATTATTCTTACTTTGCACGTATTCCTGAATATATTTTTGCTTAATGAAAAAACTATTTTACAAGCAGCAAAAGGGGCAAAGTGGTGTTGCTGCATAGAGAGACTGGAAATAGCATTTTGAGAAAACAGTTTAATCACAAGGTCCATTTAGTAGTTCTAGTGTTTTCTACCATGTAACATTATCTTCATCTAAATTAACTTTGAACCTCAGCGACACTGTGGAGGAGATGTCTTTAAAGTGCTCGGAAAAAAACATTTAAATTTGAATGTCTACGAGTGGTGAAAACCATGTACTATGAGTGAAAGCTGCAGAACAGCTTGTAGTAAGACTGGAAAAATATGAAAATCGTTGATTAATTTTCTGCAGATTATCCATTAATCACCTCATTCTTTTGGCACCAGCATCAATATTTTTAATACTGCAAATATCATTTTTCATTTGCAGCGTTTCAGTGTCTCATATTGTTTCAGGGCTTTGTCCTTCATGAACACAACTGATAACAAGAGACAAAAAGAGTGCATTGAAAATATTGTATTTCTTTTTTGTTCATACATAATTAGACATATTTTCATAGAAATAGTATATATACCATAGATGTGAACAACAGCAGAGTCATGCTAGCCTTCATGAACAGGTTTTATCCCATGAACATCAAATGGTTCAAAACAGACATCATGAAATACTAATTCCATTGTTCTGCTTGAAATCCATGCTTCTTGGTTATTTGCTTCAACATAAAGCACAAATATATGCCATAAGTAAACAGCCACATTCTTTACTATGTGTGGGACCTTAGGATGATGATTCGGGTGTCTCAGTAGTCACTTGTCTGGCCGTCTACAATACAAGCAAACCAGGGGTAATGAAAGGGAAGACTGACTAGAGGGTAGCCTTCTGTTGGCACATGGAGACTCAGTAATCAGGAGTTTGGTTTAAGGCTGGGATTATCAAGAAGCTCAAGGTGTACCTGCACTACTGAATTATTTATTACATTAACATTACTTAAATCTTGTTTTAGTCAGACTGTGAGAATGTGCAAACACTTGGAAAAATCCAAGGGTGACACTTCATTCAAAACTTAAAATGATGCTTCCTGCAGTGTTATTTGCTGCCAGAACCTGCACAGACACCATGCGGAGCAATGACTGATGACTGATCTAGTGCTATTTGGCCATTGTGATATGTTTTCAGAAGCTGTTGAGAAACTTTCTTGTTTTACCTTTCCTGGTTATGGTTACCCAATAGCATTCTGTCAGTACTCCTCTCATATTTGCTGCAGTAATGAATTCTGAAGTTCAAATTTAGACTTTGCCATCCAACTGACACCCTGTTAGCATTCACACGTATCATTTCACTGGACTGAACTTGGAGCTTTGATGCTGCACACCCCAGTTGGTGTATTCCCTCTAGTTCTCCAACTCATCTTCCCTTCCCTCTCTCTGTCTGGCTTTAGGTCTCTCTCCCTGTGCCAGACTCTATTCACACATGCTTCATTGGATGTTCACCTTGAGCAGCTGTTGAGTTGCCTCCTGCAGCCTCAGACAGACAGAGGCATAGCTGTGTGAGCCAGACCTGCCTTCTGCCTCTTTCCATAGTGTGTCAGTTTGGACCACAGCCAACCGGAGAATGGACTTAGTGCATGAGTGAGTGTTTTAAAGTGTCTGTGTGTGCTTGAATTAGGCCAATGTAGGAAAATTATCGCCTCAGGTTCAATTGAGATTACAGTTACTTTTATCACCCACTACATCAGATTAATGTCTCAGTTGATGTTCTCCCCCCATGTGCCCAGTTTTATGACAGATTCAGAAAAGTTCACTTTAGTGACATGAACATCAAAGGTGTTTTTGTTTGAGCAGTCACCAACAAAAGTTATCCTTATTTTCAAAGGCATGCGGCCAATAATGTTGAAGAGCATAAAGGAAAAGTCAAATTTCTTGAATAATGTATCTGTTGCCTCAAATTGTCAGATAAAAAAATTCTAATTGTTTCATCCTAGAGCAACTTCAAAACAAATATAAAATGGGAATCTTTAGCTTGATAATCAGTTGCCATTTTGATTCCCTTAATTTGTTTAGGTTGACGTTGTGTTCACGATATTATTTATTTATTGTTGTTACTGTTTGCGTTGACTTAGAAGCTGAGGTAGCAGTTGGCTTAACATTTTTCATAAATAAAAAAATGGATTTAGGAATTATTTTTGTTAGTTTACTTTGAGAAGTTGTACAGATGTGTCAGTCTCATTAACACTTGTTCCTATTTCTGTCACCATTTTTCAGTCATTATTTTTCATCCAAGTAGCTCAGCACCTAGAATGATGTCCCAGTTGGATTTATATATGGGGATTTCAAAAAGTTCCTCCTGGAAGACATTCATAGTGCTGCACTCGATTATTCACAAGAAAAGTAGCAAAAACAGTTGAAGAATGAAAAAAATAATAATAAAGAGAAGCGTTCAGACCTTCCTCACCCCCCCACAGCCAGGCAATTATGCAGTGAATGGAGTGTAAAAAAAAATTAATAAAAAGGAATAAAATGGTCAGGCAGCCTCCCCAAGCTCACACTGGGAAGAATGTTTTCTAACCTATTCAGCCATCTGATAAGCAGCTGTGATGCAACATACTGTGATGACACTGATACTGTGTGGTAGCTGTGATGCTGTGATGCAACATGCTGACACTTAACAGAACAGAAGCTAATCAAGATGAAGAATATGCGCGCACACACACACACACAAATATATATACAGTATTGTTCAAAATAATAGCAGTACAATGTGACTAACCAGAATAATCCAGGTTTTTAGTATATTTTTTATTGCTACATGGCAAACAAGTTACCAGTAGGTGCAGTAGATTCTCAGAAAGCAAACAAGACCCAGCATTCATGATATGCACGCTCTTAAGGCTGTGCAATTGGGCAATTAGTTGAAAGGGGTGTGTTCAAAAAAATAGCAGTGTGGCATTCAATCAGTGAGGTCATCAATTTTGTGAAATAACAGGTGTGAATCAGGTGGCCCCTATTTAAGGATGAAGCCAGCACTTGTTGAACATGCATTTGAAAGCCTGAGGAAAATGGGTCGTTCAAGACATTGTTCAGAAGAACAGCGTACTTTGATTAAAAAGTTGATTGGAGAGGGGAAAACCTATAAAGAGGTGCAAAAAATTATAGGCTGTTCAGCTAAAATGATCTCCAATGCCTTAAAATGGAGAGCAAAACCAGAGAGACGTGGAAGAAAACGGAAGACAACCATCAAAATGGATCGAAGAATAACCAGAATGGCAAAGGCCCAGCCAATGATCAGCTCCAGGATGATCAAAGACAGTCTGGAGTTACCTGTAAGTACTGTGACAGTTAGAAGACGTCTGTGTGAAGCTAATCTATTTTCAAGAATCCCCCGCAAAGTCCCTCTGTTAAAAAAAAGGCACGTGCAGAAGAGGTTACAATTTGCCAAAGAACACATCAACTGGCCTAAAGAGAAATGGAGGAACATTTTGTGGACTGATGAGAGTAAAATTGTTCTTTTTGGGTCCAAGGGCCACAGACAGTTTGTGAGACGCCCCCCAAACTCTGAATTCAAGCCACAGTACACAGTGAAGACAGTGAAGCATGGTGGTGCAAGCATCATGATATGGGCATGTTTCTCCTACTATGGTGTTGGG